CCCCCCCCACCCTAACTGCCCCCCTAGGATCCTACACCCTACCTGTACCCTGACTGCCCAAAACCTTACACCCCCAACCCCCAGATAGCCCCACCCCGAACTCCCGACCCATCCAACCCTCCCCCTGCTCCCTGTCTCTTGACTGCCCCCTCCAGAACCTCCCTGCCCCTTCTCCAACCCCGTGGCCCCCTTACCATGCCGCTCAGAACAGCGTGTCGGGCTCCACGTGCAGCCTGACATGCTGCCGCGCTCCCCCACGGAGCGCATAGCCCGGTTCCCGCCCTCGCAGAGTGCTGCAGAGTGGCACGCTGGGCAGGGGGAGGAACTCCAGACTGCCGGAGGCCCGTTGCGAACGGCCGGCCGGCTGCGAATGCAGGGAGGGGGAGGGAGGGAGAGAGAGGAGGGGAGTGATCTCAGCTGCAGGGGAGAGGAGGGGGAAGCGGAGGAGGGGCTCTCTCTGGTTGCCGGAGCCCCATGCAAGTGGCACCATCCGGCCGGCTGCCCTGTCAGCTGCGCGCACTCTGCATGGGGGGGAAGTCCGGACATTTACAAATTCCCCCCAGATGCTATTTTTAACTGAGAAAAGCCGGACATGTCCAGGGGAATCCGGACGAATGGTAACCCTATTGCCCTTTAGCTCAGGTAGTAGAAGATTGTGATTTTGGAGCAGGGGGATCCATGTCATAGCGCCATCCCACCCCCAAATTCCAGCTGGCTGTAACAAGCAAACTAGTTAGAACAGTGAAGTCCCAAATGGCCCTGGGTCTGTTACAATGCAGGTGTAGAATTATACACGCTCCTTCTCATGTTCCTCCCAGCAATGTTCAAGGAAATTTCAAAATATATCTCTAGTGTAACGAAATGTCCCCCAACTAAACTCCCACTGCGGGGCATAAGTGGTTAGCCTGAGTGGAAGAAGGGCGTCTCAAGACAGAGCCGGCGTTACCACTCGCGTGATATTATCATGCAGCTTGTGATATTTGCTGTTCTTCTTAAAGCCCCAACTCCTGGAATCTGGTGGTTACATGAGAGTCTCAGCTTTCCTTAAAAGAAAAAGTAAGTTTCTAGCCCTCCTGGTCACGGAGAAAAGCTCTGCTGAGTTTCTCAGAGACTCCCCAATCTGAACCCTAAAGCTTGTCATCGTCTTTCTCGGGAAGGCTTCCAGATCCCCAGACGTGGCGTCGTGTCCCTGATGGAGCGAGGGGGCGAGGCCTGTGTCCAGTATCCCAGGGACCCTGCACCTGAGACCCACTTGGGGGGTGAGTGTGTGGCTCACAAGGGTCTGTGGGCAAAGCTGACGGGGATCCGGTTCTCTTCTCCTAAAGGTTTTGCACAGGCTACGTCAGGGGTGGCCGAACTGCGGCTCTTTTACCATTTGAGTGCGGCTCGCAGAGCCCCCCAAGCCCCTCCCATTCTCTGCCTACCAGACTGGGGGTCGGGGGGAGAGCTCAGGGCTTCTGCCCTGCGGCGGAGTGGTGGGGCTAGGGGCTTCTGCCAGAGATGACTGGTGCCTGCTGAGAGGGGGCACAATTTAAAGATTCCCCCCCCCAATAGCTTGAGTCATGCCGCACCAGGCACGCCCCTTCTCTTATCCTCAGCGGGGTGTTAACTCCCGGTGGAGGGGCAGCAGCAAACAGCTGGGAGCTGCAAGGAGGGGCCACTGCTTCAGCTCTGTGGGGAGAGGCAGCCGCAAAAACGGCAGCTTTCCCTGCAGCTCCCAGCTGTTTGCCGCTGCCTCTCCCCACAGCCGCAGCTCCCAGCTTGCCGGCTCCAGCAGCTGCTGTGCGGGGAGGGGGCCCTGCCTCACCATGTGACTGAGCAGGGCCAGCAAACCCTGGCAAAAATCTGGGGAAGCATGTGCCCCCACGTGACCCCCATGCATCGCCCCTGGCTTCTGCCCCACGGGTGGGGGGGTCTCAGGAATCCAGTCCCGGGCAGGCATGTCTGCTGGGGCTCGGGGCTTCAGCAGGAGCAGGGCGGAAGCCCTGAGCCGCAGCAGGTGAACCCCGTCTCTCAAACTTCTGAAGATTGTCGTCTGCACCAGGGGTTGAATTGTAGTGGGACATGGTGAGCGATACGGTGGCTGCATTTATAAAATCCTGGGCTCTGAGAGCCAATGCCGTAACCCTCAAACGAGTGCAGAAGGACTGGCCACGCCCACAGCCACCCCAGCCCACGGGCTGCGGTTACCCATGAAATTCCCCGAGAACCTTTAGCTAACGCTCAGTGATAGACCTGCCCCCGCTGGCCAAGCTCCCTCCCACCCCAGGCCGTGAGCGGGCAGGACAGCGCCCCCAACAGGGGGGTTTGCAGCACGCGGACAGAGCAGTGAGGGGCTGGGGCTGGCTGGTTCAGCGAGTCAGTGGCATCATGCTGTATTTGAACCTTTCAGGAAATGGCTTCCTAGGCCCTGCCCAAGAAGCGGACGCCATCGATCGGGCTGCGGAGCAGCCGCAGCAGCCTAGAGACGCCCCGTCTCTCCCCAGCTGTGATGCACATGTCCAGTGGGGCCGCAGCAGCTGCAGCGAGTTTGGGCCGTGGGTGCAGCCTGGCTCCCAGCGGGGGAAGGCTCCTGAGTTCCTGGGCCGCTGGGGAACTGGCTCTGGAGCAATGCACGATGGGCAGGAGGACACCTCCGGGCTGCAGCCGAACCGCCGGCAGAGCCAGGCCGAGGAGCAGCCGCGCCGGCGCCCCAGAGGCAAGGGCAGCGCGGCCGCGCAGCACCGCCCGAGAGCTCAGCGGGAGGCCAGGCCGCTGCAGTGCCCCCACAGCGTGAAGAGCTTCACCGCGCGGCCCAGGCTCACCGAGCACCTGCGGACGCACTCGGGCGACAGGCCCTTCAAGGGCCCGGACTGCGGCAAGACCTTCGGCAAGCACTCGGTCTTCGTGGGGCACCGCCACAACCACACGGGCGAGCGCCCCTTCCCGTGCCCGGCCTGCGAGAAGCGCTTCAGCCACCGCTCCCACTTGACGGTGCACCAGCGCATCCACGGGGGCGAGCGCCCCTACTCCTGCGCCGACTGCCACAAGAGCTTCATCAGCCAGTCCCAGCTCACGGTGCACCGGCGCACGCACACCGGCGAGCGGCCCTACACCTCCGCCGAGTGCCAGCGGCGCTTCAGCCACCGCTCCCACCTCATCGTGCACCAGCGCACGCACACCGGGGAGCACCCCTACCGCTGCCTCAAGTGCGGCAAGGGCTTCCACCAGCCCACCAACCTGGCCGCTCACCAGCGGACTCACCTGGCGGAGAGGGCCCTGCCGTGCAGCCAGCCTGCCCGTGCCTTGCTGAGCCCCAGGGAGAGCACCTAGGAGGGAAGCAGCCGACGCGGTCGGAAGCTGCTGGAGCCTGCTCCTTTTCAGCCAGGCCTACGTTCCTCTGGAAACTGGGCGACATCCAGCCAAGCCCCGTACCTTCCCCAGCCCCCAGAGCGTGGCACGGGACCATGGAACACCAGGGATCCCTTGGGACAGCCACACTCTGAATGCTTTAATGGCAGCTGCGAGCTTCCCCCAGCATCCATTGTTATCCCGCTGCAGTGATGGGGAGGGTCTGTCTCTCGGCCAGACTAACAAGGAAATTCCTAGTTAATCCTGCCAGGGCGTTCTCAGCCCAGCCTCTCAGCGTGCCTGGGTAGGCGGTAGCATGCATAGGGGGAGGGGTTCTCCGTCACAGCACCGCGGGCCTCTCTGTGAACGGGTGTGAGCACACACATGGTCCGGTCCCGCTGCTCTGATTATTTCTTTGTCTTGCAGAATCATCTAGTCCTAGGTCAGGTGCTAGGCGCTGTACACCACAGAACAGAAAGGCCATCCCTGCCCCAACGAGCTTACTCCGAAGAGAGGAGAAAACAAATGGCTAGAGACAGACAGACAGACAGGCCGGGGAGCCCAGGGAAACAATGAGACAGTACTGGTCAGCAGGCGGCACACCCACTGCCGAACCGGTGTCACGTTTCCTCTCTCACAGGACCTTCCATCTGTCTATGCCCTTTGCCTCCTTCGCTGCAGCGAGCCATGCACACAGGCTCGGGGTCCCTAACTCCTTGCGCTTTCTCCTTCTTGCACTGGTAATGCCCCCATCACTGCAAAGCCCTCCCAAGGAAGGGCTCAGTCGTAGTTTATCTGCATTGAGCTCCACGCCCTAGGCCCCGCATTGCCTTCTGCTTGAGCTAGCAAACATTCGCCAGACGGGGGTGCTGCTCTTTCTCCTGGGCATGTGTCTTTGAGTCCTGTGGCTCTCTGGGAGGCTGGGGGTGCACTGCAGATGCATTAGGTCCTCCAGCTGGGCTCTCCGTGTGGGCACCAGGGCGCTTCTTTCACAACCAGTCTGCTGGCACCCTGTGCTGCGTTCGTTTTTGCTCACCTCACAACAAGCTATCTCAGCTCGCTCAACAACCAAGCTAAAGCTACCTCAGCCCCCTTCCGTTCCCAGCCTCCTGGCACATGTTCCTCTCGGTGGAGTCTTCTCTTAGCAGCCGCGTTGCCAAATGGCTGCTCCCAAACACAGCACAGGCTCAGCATCAGTCCTTACCAATGGGGGACATCCAGCCCCGGGAAAATATCCAGCCACCTTTTCCTTGTCTGGGTGCCACCTGCACAGGCCCTGCTTGGGCCGGCCAGTTCCTCTCCTCTACACCTGCTAGGCAGGCATGCTAATCGCCAAGACTGCTGGGGGAGACCCCCGAGTTGGCTGGCAGAGTATTAGGGCGTTTTCACTCATCCTTAGGACACTGAAGACGACAAGATGTCTCTTGGCTCCCAGCTGTATGAACCTGCAATATCCAAATGCAATTGACATCCCCCGTTTTACTGGGATCCTCCTCGAGTTAGAATCCCAAAAGTCAGTGACAGAAGGACCTAGTTAAATCACATCATGTTTATCCCAGGGGACAACACAAAGCTGGTCCCTGTTCCGTAGTCTCCATGCCTTTGCCAGGCCAGTCTGCAGTGACTTCAGAGCCAGGGCTTCCACTGCTTCTCCTGGGCAGCCCCAGGCTCTGACTGCTAGAAGCTGGGACTGGATAATAACGGGATAGATCACTCGATAATTGCCCTGTTGAGTTCACTCCCTCTGGGGCACCTGGCACTGGCCCCTGTCACAAGACAGGATACTGGGCTAGATGGACCATTGGTCTGACCCAGTGTGGCCGTTCTTATGTTCTTAAACTAGTCCCCAGTGGAACAAAAGTCGGTGGTAAGAAACTTGTGTCCCTAGGCTATCAGGGGCAGCACCAGATTTCTATGCAGACCTGGCCATGCAGCCTGTGCAGAGTCAGAGACCAGCACAGGGTGGGTTCCCCCATCGCGCTGCTTTTCATGTTTCACTAAGTTCTTGCCATTTTCATGCTCTAGCCGCCCTGTGACGTGGGGCGAGACACAGCCCAGGGGTTAGGCACTAGAAAGGGCTGAGTTCTAACCTTGGCTCTGACCGGGCTACCTGGGGCAAGTCACGTAACCACCACTTCCTCCTCTGTGAAATGGGGTGAGGGTATTCACCCCGGGGGAGCGATGTCATGTAGCTTCATTAGTGTTTGCACATGTTACCATGCTTGGCTCAGTGCTCTGGGGGACAGGGAGGGCCAATGCCACTGAAATCCACAGAGCTGCCTCAGTCTGTGTCCAGAGATCATTTGGCCCTGAATCGCTGCAGTTTCAGGAAACGGAGGGAATCTTCCGTGCCATTAACCAGGGGGGTCGGTGTTTCAAAACACGGCATTTTTGAATACTAGGGAGTCCACACGGCGTTTAGAGGCAGAAAATGCAAAATATTAATGATTATTATGACTCATTAATACTAATAACAATCAACAGACACAGTGATGTTTGTTACCTGGCTGTTTGAGGGGTGCCCGGTCGGACTATTGCTTTACAGGTCTGTTGCATCTTAGGCGCATTTAACATGTGCGATTTCAGCTTTACGCGGTCGGCAAAACCAAAAAAAAAAAAAACCCC